ATCCATCCATCCATCATCCATCCATCCATCCATCCATCCATCATCCATCCATCCACCCATCATCCATCCATCCATCCATCCATCCATCATCCATCATCCATCATCCATCCATCCATCCATCCATCCATCATCCATCCATCCATCATCCATCCATCCATCCATCCATCCATCATCCATCATCCATCCATCATCATCCATCATCCATCCCATCCTGTCTCTGCAGGAAGCTGGAGCTCTACTCCATGGAATGGGGGCTGCGGGAGGACCTGCGTGACTGCGTGGTGGCAGCTGCCCCCTATGGGGGTCCCATAGGTGGGTGCAGCCCCCCCGGACCCCGCCCCCATCCGGGGCTGTGCAGGTGACAGCGCCAGGAATGTCCCCTCCTTCTCCCAGCTCTGCTGAGGAATTCCCGGCGGGACAAGACCCCCGGTGCCCGCCCGCTCCTGGAGATCTACACGTCCTCAGGGCTGCTCCTGGCCAGCGTCCCGGTGAGCCGGGAGGGGACAGACACCCCGGGTTTGGGGACAGACAGCCCGGGTTTGGGGACAGATACCCCGGGTTTGGAGACGGACAGCCCGGGTTTGGGGACGGACAGCCCGGGTCTGGGGACAGACAGCCCAGGTTTGGGGAGGGGGGAAGAGGGAGCTGCCCTGGGCTGGAGGAAGAGGAAGGGATGGGGTTTGGAGCAGGAGAACCCTGTCCCTGGTGGCCAGGGGTGGGATGAAGGATGGGATGAAGGATGGGATGGAGGATGGGATGGAGGATGGGATGAAGGATGGGATGGAGGATGGGATGAAGGATGGGATGGGGTTTGGAGCAGGAGAACCCTGTCCCTGGTGGCCAGGGATGGGATGAAGGATGGGATGATGGGATGGAGGATGGGATGAAGGATGGGATGAAGGACGGGATGAAGGATGGGATGGAGGATTGGATGAAGGACGGGATGAAGGATGGGATGGGGTTTGGAGCAGGAGAACCCTGTCGCTGGTGCCCCAGGGATGGGATGGAGGATGGGATGAAGTTTGGAGCCACAGGAACGTTCTCCTCTGCCCTGCCAGGGGGACATGGGGACAGTGCCACACCTGCAGGGACATGCAGAGCCAGGGCAGGTGGGGTGCTGGAGCTCTGGATGAGGTGTTGGAACTCACGGTGAGGTGTCCAAGCTGTGGGTGAGGTGTTGGACCTCTGGATGAGGTGTTGGATTTTTGGATGAGTGCTGGACCTCTGGATGAGGTTCAGGAGCTCTGGACGATGTTCTGGAGCTGTGGACAAGGTTCTGGAGCTGTGGGTGAGGTTCTGGAGCTGTGGACAAGGTTCTGGAGCTGTGGGTGAGGTTCTGGAGCTGCGGGTGAGGTTCTGGATCTCACAGTGAGGTTCTGGAGCTGTGGATGAGGTTCTGGAGCTCACAGTGAGGTTCTGGAGCTCTGGGTGAGGTTCTGGAGCTGCGGGTGAAGTTCTGGAGCTGTGGATGAGGTGTCCCAGCTGTGGGTGAGGTTCTGGATCTCACAGTGAGGTTCTGGAGCTGCAGGTGAGGTTCTGGAGCTCACGGTGAGGTTCTGGAGCTGTGGGTGAGGTGTCCCAGCTCTGGGTGAGGTTCTGGATCTCACAGTGAGGTTCTGGAGCTGTGGGTGAGGTTCTGGAGCTCTGGGTGAGGTTCTGGAGCTGCGGGTGAGGTTCTGGAGCTCACAGTGAGGTTCTGGAGGTCTGGGTGAGGTTCTGGAGCTGTGGATGAGGTTCTGGAGCTGCGGGTGAGGTTCTGGAGCTCACAGTGAGGTTCTGGAGCTCTGGATGAGGTTCTGGAGCTCTGGATGAGGTTCTGGAGCTGCGGGTGAGGTTCTGGAGCTGTGGGTGAGGTTCTGGAGCTGCGGGTGAGGTTCTGGAGCTGTGGATGAGGTTCTGGAGCTGTGGGTGAGGTTCTGGAGCTGTGGGTGAGGTTCTGGAGCTCACAGTGAGGTTCTGGAGCTCACGGTGAGGTTCTGGAGCTCACGGTGAGGTTCTGGAGCTGCGGGTGAGGTTCTGGTGGTTCCGCAGTGGAAGAGCGGGCGGCTGGTGCAGCTGGGCTGGACGGCAGGAGAGGACCTGCTGTGCATCCAGGAGGACGGGACGGTGCTGGTGTACAGCCTGCTGTGCGAGTTCCGACGGCACTTCAGCATGGGCAACGTCAGCGGCCGGGATCGGGAGCGGGATCGGGGATTGGGGTTTGGGATTGGGGTTTGGGATCGGGATCGGGATCGGGGATTGGGGTTTGGGATTGGGGTTTGGGATTGGGGTTTGGGATCGGGATTGGGAGCGGGGATTGGGGTTGGGGATCGGGGTTTGGGATCGGGATTGAGGTTTG